CAATTTATGTTATGTGAAATATCTCCACAAAATAATTGAAAATCCTAGTGTTTTTTTTTTTAATTAAAAAAAATGCTAAATAATGCTGTGCTATAATAGCATTATGAATAATAAAATTCTGAAAACTATCGAATATCTTATATACCAATGTTTACTGCACTCATTTGATTTTAATTGTTATTAATTACAGCTCATGTGATATTCGCTACTCTGAAGGTATACAATCTCTTAATTGGACAAAAGTTATGAAAACAATTACAGACGACATCGAAGGCTTCTTCGATAACGGCGGTTGGTCATTTTTGGATCCCGAATCTGACGCTGAAGATGCGGCGCAGGTATGTTCACATTATGTGAAAATAGAATATTATCTATTTTTACATATTAGACATGTATAAGCGACTAGCAGCATTAGAGAATCCATTTGTGACATTATCATCAATAATGAAAAACATTTAAGCATTAAGCATAAGCATTTAAAAAATAGCATCAGCGGAACTTAAATTCAATACATACTTTTCAGGATGAAGAATCGGAAGAAGAGGATGATGCTTATGAACCGACAGATGTTGAGTCTGAAGAGGAGTCAGAAGATGATTCCGAATACGACTCGGAGGCTTCGGATGCGTCTGAAGGCTCTGGTGATAGTGAAGGTAAAGTATATCATGCATCTAGAATAGTGGTTCTAAAGCAGTAGTGGTCCCTGCAGTAGGTTTAAAAGATGGTAAAAGCATAAATACTCAACATTTTAAGTTGATTCGGTAACGTAAAAGCACCTTAAAATAAAAAAATTCTTTTTGTAAAATATTATCATATAGTACTTAAAATTATTTCGTCGGAATTTGTACCATGTGAAATGACCACGACTCTTTACTTAAAAGAATTATTTCTGATCAAAACTATTTTAGGTTTTATAAGATAGTGTAAAGTTAGTAAAGAGAATATAATAATATATAAGTTATGATATAAAAATCAATTAAACTATTCTCGGCTGTTTAGGTAGAGAGAAAGATCACTGAAAGTCACTTTTAGTCACTGAATGTAGCAATTCATATATTATTTAATATATAAATAAACTTGTCACGTCGCTAATTTTATGTCGTCAAAAAGTAAATCATGCACTGTCTTGTTATTGAATGGAGAGTTTGTAAAATTACTATCTTTTCTATTCATAGAGGAAGACGAAGAGTCCGGTAAGGACTGGTCTGATCTTGAACGTGAAGCGGCCGAGGAGGACAAGAAAGAGCGCAACTACGACCGCGAAGACTTCGATCGGAAAAGAAAAGGCGGTCGCGATCGACCGCGCTCATTCGACGCTGACGACGACGAGGGCCGCAGTAAGAAAAGCAAACACGACAAGAGCTCCAGCCACCACAAGAGCTCAAGTCACAAAAGCTCCAGTTCAAACCACAAGAGTTCTAGCCATAAAAGTCCGTCTAAACACAGTAGTAGCAGGTGTGCTTTAAATTTTATATTAGATTGAAACTGAACAATTTTACTAATAAGTTTAATAATTCTAAAAAATAAGTTTAGTTTTTAGTTAATTTAGAAGAGAAAAGTTAATTCTATTGTAATAGAATTCACCTAATATATATATCTATTTAAATCATAAATAGAATGGATAGAAGAAAAGGTGGTAAACTCTAACTTCTTGATTCCGTTAAGTCTATTTCCTTGATTCCATTAAGTAGATGATTCCACTAAGCCATAACTTAACATAACATAGATTTACAATATTTAGTTGGTATAGTTTCCGGAGTCTAACTTGGCAAGATTCGTTAGATGCGCAGAAGTAGTTTTTTAGATCTTTTTGGTTATCAAGCGGGGCGCGGGGAACGAGATAGCATCGTTCAAGCGCGCGATTGGTTAGCCAGTCGACTTCCAAGTGTGCGATTGGTTGGCCAGTCGACCCTTGCCACCCGCAACGTGTCCACGTCCAGCTGTACATGCGCATACTTTCCCCCACTATACCAAAACCTTGCCAAGTTAGTTGCCGTATATCGGTCAAACAGTGCTATGTTGATTGCTGGATCTAGCCTAATAATTATTAACTATAATTTCATTATATTGACAGTCCCTCAAAGAACCGTGACAAGCACCACAAGTCATCGCACAACGACAGAGACCACAAGTCATCGCATAGCAAGTCAAATGGCGACCATAAGAAGCACCACTCCAGTGACAGCAAGTCTCACAAGCGTTCCCGGGACGACAGTCGAGATCACGATCGCAGTTCTAAAAAAGCTAAGTAAGTTAAATATTCTCATGTGAAATAAGCTTTAATAGCCGTCGTATAAGGCGCATTTTCCGCTCGAACAAATGTACTTGTGTCAGGGTATAATACTGGATTAGTGCATTGTAAACTAACATACGTAAGATAGGAAGAGGTTATCAATGTGAGTATACATCCATTATTTAATATATGATGAAGTCAGTTTCCGTGTAGAGGCAGTGTAAGGATATAATCCACTACAGGCAGGCCTCTCAACCTTGCTATCTGCCTGAAATAATTACCTACAGTCGCGAGGCGCCCCCGGGATATAATAACACAGTCGGGGCTAGCGCGTTCTAAGCGATATCATGTTAAAGTTTTTTAACGTTGTTTACGTAAATAGGTTTTTGTAAATACTTGTTGAAATACTCGTCGAAATAGTTTTTGTTTAGTGTTTAGTATATTTAATTGTAGGATAAAATAGTTGAGAAAGTTTTAATGTAATTTATATATTAATATACTTATTATTTTATATACGTTTATTACCTATCTATTTGATAAATTTAAGTGGTAAAACGTTTCCTACTATAATTGTTGCATGGATGGATGCTTAATGGGCAAACAAAAGGATTTAGATATATCATTTTTTAAGTTAGCAAACATCCGTTCCAGCACACTGAGCAAATACAAAGAGGTGTTGTAATTAGATTTCACTATGTTGTTACATAGTGAATGTTACATGCGTGACAATTTGCGGGGTGAGGGGGTGTTAAGCCCCACCCACTTAACTATTTTCCATCTATGTTACAATGTAGTTTAGCTACCTTGACGATAGATGGCGGCCTGTTCACGAAATGATTATAATATTTTGGCGATTAAAACTTCTTTAGGCCTGAATGCAAAACTAATTTCAGCACCTTTGTATGTTTATTTTACCAATACTGAGCTCTACCTACCTTTATATTTTTAGTTCCCATGACAAAGTGTCGCCATCTAATGTCGAATATGTTTAATTATATTTGAAAGCCGACGCAGACATTTTTCTAGAACTTTTTTAATAAATTAGGTATAAAATTACTTTAAATGTGGTGATGCTACCCATAGCATTAAAGCATCTATCTGAGTAATTTTTACACGATAAAATACAAAACTTTATCCTTTTCTTCTTAATACTACGAAAATACACCGATTTGCGATTTTCGACACATAAGCGCACAGAACAAACGTTGACCGTATACTAACTAAAGCCACGGCCACTGTGATGACATCAGGACCTAGTTAGAATCACAGTGCACAGTTGCTAAGACCGTCTCATCTTTGTATTTGCTCCATGAGCGATTTGGGAGTAAGCTTATCTCTCACAGGAGTGAGACACTAGACTTTCTTGTGGGGTTTCTTGAAGTCAAACAAACTGCAATCGACCGTTGCCCGGTAAAATTTATCCGGATCTATGCAGAAGAGTCATTGAAAATTGGACAACTCGGATTTTTTTGATTTAGAGTGAGACAAAAAATTAATCAAGCTCTTCTAGACGAGTTAAGTGTAAATGAAGACATGTATCCTTCTAATGAATCATATATGTATGGGTATAATACTCAACACTAGATATATCAACCTTATAATAAAAAATACTGTCAAATAATAACAAATCTGTGATTGTAGAAATAACTAATCGTCGTACTTCGATATCGTAATTTCGATAAAACTCGCCTTTTTTTCCTTGCCCTATAGTAGGGATTCACTTCCTTTTTAGCCCACAATAAATTGAGCGTTATGAATAAATTTAAAACAAAAAGATGTTGTCGCCGTTGTTCAGACATAATATAATAAAAACAAATATCTAGACAACACAACCATGAACACATCACTACGCCGCTATAGTGTCGCGCGATCTACCCGCTGGTTTCGAGAATGAGTCTGCGTTGCCCGCCCCGCTCCCGCGTCGCCACCGCCGCCGCCCCGCTGCCCGCAAAATTCGAGGCAGAGGCCTTAGTTCAATTGTTCCTCATACAACTGCCATTTTTAATTAGGATATGTTGTATTTTTATTCTATGAATACATTTATCTAAGGATTAAAAAATCTGCCCTTAGTATTTAAAATTTTTATATTTTCTGGCAGCCTTTCAGCCGTTTGAAGATCATCAGCTCTGTTTCGGGGTTTTTTTAATTTACAATTTAAGTTAGTTCGCCGCTATATGATGATTTATTTCATAGCAGACTTTTTAATGCTTTGTAGGTAACTGTTTTTTTTTTTTCTAATGTATTATTAATAAAAGTTACTGACTAAATATATTTATAATATGCGTCAATGCTACGTTTTAGGCCTCCTCTCATTGTTGAGATGGATGGATTAAGGAGCGGTTAGTCCGCCACGCATGCTGAACGGATTTTAATATTTTTTATTATTAAAAAAAAATGTTAATGGAAATATCATCAATAATTGATTTATGCATTATTTCTTTGTTTCAGGAAATAACCAACCAATGAAGATGAGTCTCATTGTTTTCGAAGAAACGGGTTTTTCAGTTGTCAATTGAATTATATTTTACTTAAATTTGTTAAGAGCTCCCCATTTAAAACCTACTTTGTCCGTTTCCATGTTCAAATCGAGTTGTCTGATTTTTTTGTATGTAATGTAGATTTACTTTTAAATTCCATCATTATTTTTAATTTAAATTATAGCAACAAAAAAAAAACAAAATAAATATAAGATTTACTATTATTCGTATAATTCATTTTACTCCTAGTATTAAGTCAATATGACAACAAAATAAATTAACTAGTAGTAACATTTTCGTGAATGGTTGATTTATTATTTTATATCACAAGCTTAATTAAGAGCAAAAATTAAAATGTTACACTATTTACATATAAATAACTGGTGTCTACGAAATTCGTAGTTTTTCGGTGATCAATTTTGTCGTATGTCCGTTTCCTGCGCGGCGACAACGGGACCTCGCGGCAATACTGTTATCCTCTTTGATTCTGGTAACTTGTTAACGTCTTGCAACTTCAACACATCTTTGTGTTCTTGCATCTCGCTCGAACTCCAATACTTCTTATTGACTAGCATTAGTAACATTAATGCGGGTAAATGAATGAGAGAGAATTTAAAAAGTTTTCTCGAACTGCCACTGTCTGACTTCTTGTAAAATTGCCATGCTGAAATTAAAGAAACAATAATAAAAAGGAATATTTTTATTTAGTTGTATAAAGTTATTTCAATAATGTTTTGATCTTACCTAAGTACATAAAATATAAGTTCAATGGCAAAGATTCCAACGCAAACCACAGGTTGGTCACATCTAAGTAGGAAGAGGCCAGGCAAGTTGCTGTTATAATACCCGTATGCCTTAGTGCAACTCTTCTACATAGAGCTGAAATGGTAATTTTTAATGTTAAAATTACACGATTTCGCAAATAGATGTGCTTGGGGCTCAGCAGACCTGACACTACACTGCAGACTATTGTTTTCCTTTTTATTTCAATTCCTAAAACATGTATAAGTATCGACACGAAAGTCTAGCGATGACCGTTATTGCGCATAAGTCGCGCTGATTGGCTCTCCAGTCGCATTTGTGCAATTCAATTCATGCCCCCTCCACGTTTCGTTCAGCGCTAGACTTACGTGCCGCGACTTGTAATAATCACTACATTAAACAAATTGACCGTGTAACGGAGGTGTAAGTATATCCACCACATATAGAAAATATTACACATATCGTCTAGTAGGTGTCATATGAAGAGACAGACGGGAACAAACTATGATGGGCAGCATCATCTTGCTACTGACAACTAAAAATATAAAACTGGTCCATTCTCGTTCATCGACTAGTCGATGAACTAGTTAAATTTGTCGACTAGTTTACTCTCGTTCCGTTGTCTAGTTCCTTGACGTCGTCTATGGCTCGACGTAGTCGAGATACGTAGATGGTAGACTAGTGTAACGGCATGATGTATTAAGTCGTCTATTATTAACCGGTTCAGTGCGGATGGCACGCCAGGCGTGCCATCGATTACTTTTGTGTGTAGCGTATGACAAGCGAGTCGTGTCTTTATAAAAACCTCGTTATAACTCACTCAAATTGCCTTTTTGGAAGATTTATCCAGAACAAAATATTCATTATTTTGCAAGTAGTTCATGCCTACAGCTTCGTTTCTTGATATTTTGAACATTTGAAATTTTTACGGGTTGACAACCTTTTTTTAACATTATCTTTTTACTTTGTTTTAAATCATGTTGTGGGAAAATAGTCTAATAAGTAACAAATAATAGCACTCATTGCGATCGCTTACAAACTCAAGTCTGAAAAACAAGTCTCCTGTTAAAAAAGAAAACAATGCGTTTGTCTTATTGTTTAATTTTGCTTAAAATGGTTGAACTTCCGTCTTATTACTATCATATGGCCAAATAGATCTACGAAGTACCATGTGCTCTTGTGATATGGTATAAGATTTCTTTTTGCTTGAAACAGTTCGAAACCGTTCATGCATAAAAAAAGTTCGCTAATAAATAGTATTAATCCGCCGCCGTATGGCGCCTGCGTTTTTTTCCTTTTGAAAACACTTGTTTTGCTATTCTTACTAATTAGACGTTTTGAGATCGACTTTACTATTACATTTGTATAACATTAAACAATATTTAACATTTGTAAATATCAATGAATCATAAACGTTTTTTTCCAAATTAAGGTTCTTGAATGTTTGATATTTACAAATGTTATTATTAGGTGAATATTTAATTTAATAAAAACCAACGTTTTACCAGGGTGATTTAGCTGCACCTACATATATGATTTAAAAAAAAAATAGTACAAAAGGTTTGTAATCTCTGCATAAAAACTCACTCTCAATTTCAAAGAAAACACGTAGAAAAACACGTAGTTACCCACTAAAAACAAGTATCCTTACGTTTGTAACTGATGTTTGATGTCAACTTGAACAATGAGCTTGTCAACAATGAGCGCTTGACACGCCAGACGTGTCATGAAATATTTGTTCGAACGAATCGGTTAAGTCGCCCTTCTCTTGCTTGCGATGATACCATGACGGCATCCTTTTCTTCAGCTAACACAATTACAAACTGCTATTTATACTCTTACGCTGTCTACATTTAGAGTTCTAATTTGTTTGCGTAACTATGTCATTGCAACGAACTATGATCCAATATTATCCGACCACGTTCTCGCGTCGCTGGTCGCTTTGCTAGGCGAAATAAACGTTATGGAGTTTCAATTTAGCCGTCTACGGATTCGACTAATCCATTGATTGTTCGTAAACAGTCTACTCGTTCACAGTACGTCGACGGTCGAATTAACTAGTTCGTCCATTCAACGCCCATCACTAGCTCCCAATACACATAAAGCTAAGAAAGAAACATTCAAAGTGCGAGATGACCAGTATTGCGCTCGAAAATCCACCTGTATTTCGCCAAATCCTTCCTATTATGGACAAGCCTATGTTCAACAGTGAACTTACGTTACGGCTGAAGTAGAAGTATAATTGCTTACCAGGATCAGTAACTGCCATCATTCTATATCCGGCCCGCGAATAATCAGGGCGCAAGTTCCATGAAAGGGCATTAAAGTGTGGAAACTGCCACGAGTACAGCACAACGCCTAGAACTAACGCCCCGGCGTCCAAACTACCCGTGCAGCCCGCCCAGCCCATTAAAGGTGGTATTGCGCCAACTGTGAACATTTTACTTAATTATTCATTAATTTGATAAATAATAAAGGAGACAGTTTCTTTTTCTATGAAGAATTGGCCCACAACAAATTGTGGCGTAATTTAATGAAATACGTGTCGATTTATTCCTTATTACCTATAGATGCAAAAGTAATATTAGTTTTGCCGTATCTAACGGGAATAGTGAGAAATTAACAACTAAAATATGAATATGATTTAGGATTAAATAATAAACGCCATCTTTTTAATAAAATGTGTAAAAAATATTAGAGAATCGTAGTGCTTTTAATGACTGTGAGATGGCGCTAGTATCAAGGTAAAAGCCAGCTACTGAGGACTTTTATACCCCTGTTCGTAACTCGCATTTTTTTATATAACATTATCCAGAACATCAAAACAACTTTTTTTTTTCATATTTTATAATTCCGGTAAGATTTTCATAAAATCTTTAGGCCGTTTACTATAATAAATTGATATATTTTTTATGTGTAATGAAATTAAGTTACGTTAAAATTTCTGGAAGGCCCAAAAACGATTGTCTCCTTTGATATAATAAATAAAATCTGGCGTTACTTAGGAAAAGTTCATTATACTAAAGATGATAACATTAATTTGCTAAGATCTATGTGAGAAATAAAATGTGTGTTACCTACTTTGGTGTTTGTTGACTGCTTTAGCAGAATATTTCTCCTGGTGATGCCTAGTTTACAGGCGAAAAATGTGGTATTATCAGTGCTGGGATTCAGGGAGGGAGGTGGTTTTTTAACTAGGTAAGACATAATATTATTTTTATTTTTCATGGGGATATTAGCTAATATTTTTTTTTACATATTTAATTAGATTTCACAGCATAAAACACCTATAAAAAGTTCATTTCTTGGTTTGTCAATTTAATGCCGCCAATCCTGAACATTTTATCGCATTGCAATGTGTAACAGTAAATAAATTAACAATGTTTAACTTATTATATTTGTATCTATATATTAGGAAAATATGTAGTGTCCGACCAAAGATCGATTTCCTGCTGAAGTTGATTAATCGGTTATCACAACAACCTTCGGCCGAAACAGAAACCAAAGTCGAAACCTAAAGCTTAAAACCCTAAGAAATTTAGTTCAAGATTCGCTAAAATTAAGGACGCGTTTACAAAATTGATAGGTATAGAATCGAACTATTACATTGACAGTGGTCACACACACAAGTGTACGCACGGTTAGCTGCGGGAATCGCAATCAAGTATAAACATTTTGATAATTTGAAAGATTGTTTTTTTTTTTCATATTTCTTATTACCTACAAAAATATACTTGGATACGAAATATAAATGGCTGCTTCAAAGACAGCTAGGTACTAGAAGCCATCTACAGGGAGTGAGATGTTGGCTGTGGACTTTGAGCTGGTATTGTTAGTTATGATAACTTTAGCTCCGAACTTGGTGAAGTGACTTGAAGGTATACTTGGGTGACTGCTACTGGAAGTCCGGGACGTGTAGTACCATGTGTGCCGAGTTTGGGCTCATTATGTTAGTAATGATGAGACCTTACCTCCGGACTTGACAGAATGACCTGATGGTGTACGTTGGTGACTACTACTGCAACTCCTGGACGAGTAGAACTAGGTATGCCAAGTTTGGGCTCGTTTTGTTAGTTACGATGAAACCTTACCTCCGGACTTGACAGAATGACCTGATGGTGTACGTTGGTGACTACTACTGCAACTCCTGGACGAGTAAAACTAGGTATGCGTAGTTTGGGCTCGTTTTGTTAGTTACGATGAGACCTTACCTCCGGACTTGACAGAATGACCTGATGGTGTACGTTGTTGACTACTACTGCAACTCCTGGACGAGTAGAACTAGGTATGCCAAGTTTGGGCTCGTTTTGTTAGTTACGACGAGACTTTACCTCCGGACTTGACAGAATGACCTGATGGTGTACGTTGGTGACTACTACTGCAACTCCTGGACGAGTAGAAGTAGGTGTGCAGAGTTAGAACTCATTATGTTAGTTATGACGAAACCTTACCTCCGGACTTAATGGAGAGACCTGATGGTGTAATTTAGTGACTACTACTGGAACTCCTAGACGAGTAGAACTAGGTATGCCAAGTTTGGGCTCGTTTTATTAGTTACGACGAGACCTTACCTCCGGACTTGATGGAGAGACCTGATGGTGTACTTCAGTGACTACTACTGCAACTCCTGGACGAGTAGAACTAGGTGTGCCGAGTTTGTTAGTTATGATGCGCAGTTGCCCTTGAATTTGGTAATACCATTTAAATTTTCTCCGACGTGCCTAAACTCGGCACACCCAGTTCTACTCTTCCAGGAGTTACGAAGTACACCATCAGGTCTCTCATCAAGTTCGGAGGTAAGGTATCGTCATAACTAACAAAACGAGCCCAAACTTGGCACACCTAGTTCTACTCGTCCAGGTGTCCCAGTAGTAGTCACTGAAGTACACCATCAGGTCTCTCCATCAAGTCCGGAGGTAAGATCTCGTCATAACTAACAAAACGAGCCCAAACACGGCACACCTAGTTCTACTCGTCCAGGAGTTGCAGTAGTAGTCACCAACGTACACCATCAGGTCATTCTGTCAAGTCCGGAGGTAAGGTCTCATCGTAACTAACAAAACGAGCCCAAACTTGGCATGCCTAGTTCTACTCGTCCAGGAGTTCTACTAGCAGTTACCGAAGTACTCCTTCAGGTCATTCCTTCAAGTCCGGAGGTAAGGTCTCGTCATAACTAACATAATGAGCCAAACTCGGCACACCTAGTTCAACTCGTCGAGGAGTTCTAGTAGCATTCACCGTATACTTTCAGATCACTCCATAAAGTCCAAGACGAATAGGATTTATATATTATAAATCCCACTTGCTTTTAGCGAAACAAAACATAATAAGAATTTGTGATTATAAAAATATTTATATTATGTATGTATTATTTTACTTTGTCAGGTCATGTACCTATGTATCAAATTCGAATATTTTGTGTTTGTACAGCGATCTTTTTCAGCTGCTGCAGGCGATACAGCGACCACCCGCGATAGCGGCCGAGCGCCGACTGTGGTTTCATCGAAATTTTTGTACAACAAATCAAAACAGACACTAAAAATAAAATAACCCTTATTGCAATCCATTAGGATTCATCCGTATCAGCAAAATATGTCAAAAAATAAGATTCAGTTTTTATTTTTTTTACGACCATTTGTGACATTTTGATAAAAAGTAATCTCCAGCATTTTTTATTGAATATGTCTGCCTACTTACAGTATTTTTAGAAATCTTAATATATGTTGATAATAGAACAAAAAATGTACCGAAATATGAGCCGGTATCGTTAATTTTGTTGTAAATGGCTAGGGAAGATCCTTTTTACAATGTAAAAAACTATTATTTTCAACAAAAAAGTTACCACCATTTGAAGATAAGGAACCATTCTATACGTTGTAGTTATTAGTTATATTTGATTTGGTTTAGTTTTGTCACAAAATGTACCGAAAAACAGCATAATTTGGCCCGATTTGCAAACGCACCCTTAATAATATATATTATTTAAAATTTGTTAATGTTTATATTGACTGTCTAACATCAATTACGAATAATTATCTCTACAGTTGATCCAGGGATGATAAAAATTGCGTCGACACTTCCATCACGTTCTCGCTCATTCGTAAGACTCAATTTAGATTGCGGCGCAATGGAATGGAATCGAAGCGTAAAGGAGAATGCCAGATCGTGCCCCACCTTGTACAAAGAAGGTAAAAATATGAAAAATAATCTTATGAATTTTGAAGTTTTTTGTGATAAATCGTTATTTAGTTCAACTTGCGGTAAAATATTATTTATAAAAAAGGAATTCAACGATTAATATTTACATCTCCAGTCTTTTCTAATAACATCTGCGTTTCTTTGTACGAATAAGTACATACGTACGCATAAAGTGTCAAACAATACATATATATCTATTGTTTGATACTTTATACGTATGTACTTATAAGTCTTTGTCATACAGAAATTTTATTATTAAAGTCCACTTAACAAAAAAATCGCAAGTTCTAGAGACTTCAAATTATATAATTTGGATGAAGTAATAAAGTAGAAAAAAAAAAACATCAGTACACCACACTTTTGGGTGGGGCAAAGTTCTATAGAGAATCTGGCATTCTCCTTTCGCCTAGTCGCGCGGGAAGGCGCGCGAATTGCGACTGCGCCTAGAATCTATATACACCGTTCAATTATTTAGTCTAGATCTTTTATTTGACAAGAATTGTTGATTGGTTGATTTTAATATTGCTTATTTGTGAGGCAGAAGAAGAAAATGATGAGGAAAGGAAGAATATCAGAAAAAAAATATTTGGGTTCATGATTTATGGAAGAAATGAAAACGTCACCCTTGGCGCCACTTTCCGCGGATTCCGCAGACTGCGCCGACAGTAGCTACGAGAATTCTCGAGAATGCCCGAAAATTCCACAGAAGACGCGCACTTCTTTTTTGGCTCAGATCTAGTTTACATGTTACACCATTAACAAAAAAATAATTTTACTATGTACAATTTAGTTACAAAAATTCGCTTACATTCCGTTCCACAGCAATGTAAATTGAGCCTTAACGGTTCGTTTAATTGCGGCGCTTGCTAGAAACCTTCGGATACGGCCGGGGTTTCGCCGAAGGTGGTTTTTTATTGCCCAAAGATGACCAAAGCCGAAGCTTCGGTTGGATATTAAAAGTATGTCATAACTTACCAACAGAACCAAGCCATGTATTAAGTATTGACATCCTTTTCATGGGAGTATATACTGACGTATACAGCACGAGATTGCCGGCGCCCAGGGCAGCTGTTAGAGGATTAACGCCAAAATACAAAATGCTTAAACCGGAAGCGCTTGTTATTGCTGCAAAACTAATGGCATGAACAGGTCTGGAAATAAGAATTAGGTAGAAATAAATTAAGGCAATTCTCGAAAGAAAATCTGATATAAATGTTCTACATTTCATTAGCAGGTTTCTTAATAAGATGTCAGTCAGATAAATGCAAAAAATGTAAGTTGTCTATCTTTATATATATTACAATACTACTGCTATGTGTGTTTCTCACTGAACAGCTTCTCTACGGCTAGACCAATTTTGATTTGAATTGTTTTGTATGTGTTTGAGTGGGTAACTGGATGGTTTAGATTCACAATTGGACTCCGTAGGTAGCACTGTTGTCAAGATCTGAAGAAAGAAATCTGCCGTGCAAAGCTGGGGTGGATCGCTAGTTATATTATAAAATATAATTTGAAAAAAAAAAATAAGTTTCATGAATAAAAAAATGGGAACAAAATTAAATAATATAAATAAAACCAATATAATTACAGGCTGTGAGGCATTCCATTTATTTTGAAGTTGGTTGCAGGTGTCTATGGACTGCAGTAGCCACATACCATAAGGGTGTTTGTAAATTCATTTGTCACTATATTTTAATACATAAAAATAGTTGTGAACTAAACTAAACTGACTTGTTGGTCTAATGGTCATAAGCATGTCTAATCATGTCAATCAATGATGTCCCAGGGTTGAATTCGGGGTCAGGCCAAAATCAGTGATTGGGTTTTTGTGACAAGTTAGCAGTAGCAGCCCAGTGACAAAGTTGGCGGTGTTCCACCCCCGTGTCTTGGAAAGCATGTAAAGTCATTGGTACTGCACCTGAACTCTCTCCGGTTGTGTCAGATTGCCATCATATCAGACTATAGTAGTAGTAAGAGTGAGAGAATACAGAGTACACCTGTGCCTGTGCATACAATCATACACTAATAATC